GAAAAGGATAGATACATATGCTCATGCACACACATCAGACACAATGTAAAATAAGACAAGGGAGGTTAACTGCTTAGTGTTTGTACAGATACTCTTATGTTGTATATCCTAGCCTCTCCATCCTTTTTCTTATGAGTTTCTTAAATATCCTTTTTCTTTTCCTCTTGCATACAAGAACAAGCTAAAATTCAAAGGAAAGCAAATTGCCTTGTTTGGGGGGTTTTGGTTTGGTTTTAAATTGAAACATGATACAACATCCTTAAAGGAAATGTAGTCTATCCCAAGCAATCACAAATCTACCTTTCAGAGAGCCAGGGTTAAATCTATACCATATATAATATAGGTGCTGTTTGAGAGGTACAGCCCATTGGTTTCTCAGGGCTTTCATTTGAAAATGTTTTCCATGGTGTGATTTGTGCAATACTTGCAAGCATATGCTTACCATCTAAACAGTGCTAAAGAAAATACTGCCATTTGTTTTATGGTTCAGTATATTGCAGTGGTGGCCCTTTGCATGTGACTGTGATACAAATGGCATATAAATAATCTCTAAAAGCTGAGGGGGGATGTAATGGGCCAGTGGATACAAGATATCCTTTTTCTTCTTAGTCCCAGTTTATGTTGTATTCAGGGAGTTCTTGCTCTTGCAATTACTAGGTTATGTATAGAGTATTAAGGCATTTACAAAATTAACAGTCCTCTTACACTAACAATTGGAAACTAGTATTAGTTAATCAGACCAGTAGCCTGTGGAAATAATTACTGTGTGATAATGGGAGAAAGGGGTATATCTGCACATTCATCTCTGCCTCTCCCTACGAAGCACTCTGGAAACCCTGTAGTGACATAATGCCCAGGCATCAGCAAAGAGAACATAGCTGTGTCTTGTCATGACCAGCAGAAGGCAAACCCTTTAACCTTTTGGTGACACAGCTCTGAGTTAAAGGACTCAGTACAGAATCATGATACCAGCTCTTCCTCAAGTAATGTCAGACAGCATCTTCTCAGCTTAGTTTCTACCCTGGATCCTCCTAAAGCCTTAATCCTAAAGCTTGTCTTTCACCCTGCTGTGCCTCTGTGGTCCTCAGAGACTGTTTAATTGCCTTTTACCTCTATTATCCAGATAGAATATATCAGTGAAGTATTCATATGGATCTTTGATGGCAGGCTCAAAGAGTCTCTGCTGCCTTCTTTGCAGACATAGGTCTGCAATAAAACACAATAAAATGAAGAACAGTGATGATAGGCTCTGAATATTGTCTTACTTTACCCAAAAGGGCCAAATGAAAACCAAGTAGGAAATGAAAATTCCTCCTCCATCCCTAAGGGTTTTTGTTACAGTCCTTGGTTATAAAATTGCAAGGACTTGGAGGGTTTGTCTGTAATTGCATTACAGATTTCTATGAAGTATCTTTATAAGATCATTGCTGAATGTTTTCTTTCAAAGACTGGTTTTGAAAGAGAGGTGAGGAGATCTGTTTTATGGTCAATGCTTTATGTTCATGTCTAATGTTTCATGTTTTATCTTGACCACAGCAGCAAAAAGGTATCATGAGACTGAAGATGTCTGGGAAGTAGCATTTCTGTTGATCACATTAATTGTAAAATAAAATCAAGTCAATTCTCTTTAGATTTGAAGCATCTTCCTCAGTAACTACACCTATTGATGTTTCATCTTTAGCAAGTGATAGAAGGACTGTGTTCGTGGGGAATCAGTATCATGAAAACGTTTGTTTTCTAAAAGTAAACAAAGAAGTAGTTTCTAAATTCCTAAAAAGACAGAGAACAAATATTAGAGGGATGAGATGAAGAAGGTATCCAAAACAACAGCTGAGCATGGGTGACCTAGACTGACTAATGCAGGACAGATAATGCAATTATTATCAAAAAACCCAGAATTATGATTTAGCAGTACATTTACCTATATGCTGACTGAAGTATGTACTTAAGGCCCATAGAAATCAGTAAACCTAAGTACTTACTTAAATCTCTGCCTTTAATTAAACCATAGGAATCATAGAATTTTACTTTGTTTAGAAATAACATAAAATAGTGTGCAATAGTAGTTTTAAGAAAGTGCTAGGGATTGAACAAAAAAGTGTAATTATGTAAGGAAAGATTGTGCTGCTCAAAACTGTAAGAACAGCTCTCGTGAATGAACTCAGCTTCTCTAAAGCACAGCCAAGTTCACAGAGTGGAAAAGCTGTGTTGAGCTGTTCATCTTAGATTTGCACATTTATGTTAAAGAAAATCTCACCCTGATTCAGTGTATTGCTAACAGTGGCAAAATTCTTAATAATTTCAATGTTTGCAGGGGCAGTAGACATTTGGCATATGAGTGAAACCTGGAGATGGATATAACAAAATATAGTTTAGCTGAACACTACTTCCCAAGATCAAAAAAGCGTCCATTTTATTATAGGTAAGTATTATGAACACAAGGGACTGACTAATAGTCTTTGAAGTCACTGGACTGCAGATATTTTTTATTTAGAGGTCATGGTGGAGCAGGCCTATATAGCAAGTTGTCTTGCTCACTCATACTCTGAACATGGTTTGGGACCTAGTCCAAAGAAGACCTAAGTACATGATTAATCACTGAGACCCAATGAAGCTATTTGAATTAATAAAGTAATGTATATGCAGAAGTGTATGCCAAAGACAGGTATTTAGACTTTTCAAAAGATTTTTTTGGCATGATACATAATAAAGTGTTTGGATACCTCAGCAAAGTACAAAAGCCATGAAATACACACGGGAACAAAGCACACATTTTTTGTGCAGGAAGGTGCAGTGGTGGACAAGTTCTGCTGGTTTTGTTTGGTGCCACTTATACAGTTGTGAGATTGCCATCAGTTGCCTGAATAATTGGTAAAGCTTAGTTTCTCTTGCCGTACCCGCATTGTTAAATGCATTCACTGCAGTGACATCCCTGACCCTGCCCTACATGGTGCAGGATGGCTTATATCCACATTGGGACTTCCCCCACTCAAACAATCTGGCTGCACCCACACTAGCCCTGGGCTTCCTTCTCAAGGACCTATATGGTGCCCTGGCTGCTGAGAAAAAGAATTGATTTTTAATAGCTTGTCTATTCTAGCTGAAAAAATATGAGGATCTTGTTTCAAACTATCAAGAGCAATATTTGTATAGCATGAAACAGAAACCATGTATTACCTGTTTTGGTGAGACATATAAGGCTGCTTGAGGCAGCAAAACCTACTGAGAGTGGATTGGAAGAATGTAATGCAGAAATTTTAGCTTGTGCAAGGTAATATCATCTTTGGAGAATGGTTTTTAGCCTGAATTATCCCTAGAACTGCACCTAGACTTTGTTTTGTGGGGAACTAAATGTTTTAGTCTAAAGTAGTGCTTACCGCTGGACTAATGCGTACAGTATTGACAATCAGGGAGCTGAGACCCAGAAGACAATGGAGGGACTAAAATATTTGGTAGCTATGAAGTACCCCTTGAGAATAGGTTATGAATAGGCAATTCTCCGTTAACCATTCAGAGAGTCTAATAGCTCTCTAAAAAAATATAACCAAGTTACCTGCGAAAAATGACAATATGAATCTTGTTGCTTTTCCTCATTCCACTACTGCCAAATAAAATGCTTTTTATTTGGCAATATCTCTCCAACAGTCTCCCTCTAGTATTAAAAATAAATGCATTTAAAAATTATTTTGCCATCCCCTCTTATCACAGGCTAAGGCTGACTTCTAACCAAGCCTGTCAGAGTTCAAGAACCATTTGGACAATGCTCTCAGGCACATGAGAATCACATCAGGAGTGGTTCTTGGGGCTGCCTTGTGCAGGATTATGAGTTGGACTTTGATGATCCCTGTGGGCCGCTTAGAAGGAAACTTAGAAGGAACGATTCTATGAAACTGGGTAAACCACTAGGTTTCCTTTAGAAAGCTCAAACTGTAACAGCTCTCCTTAAAGAGAACTAGGTACGCTTCATATAAGAACACGGTGGGCCCCTGAACTCCACATGGACATTAAGGATAGTGAAAGTGAGATTAATTTCATCCTGCAGGATTCCTCTTTTTCTCTCAGTCTAGTATGTACATGTTCTTCTTGTACTGGGGAGACCAAAACTGGACAAATACTCTAGATATGGTCTCAAAAGTGCCAAATTCATGCAAAGAATCACTTACCTGGATATGAAGGCTGATGGCCTTCTTTGACTCAGGGGTGCACTCTTGACTTTTGGTCATCTTGTCATCCACTAGAGCCACCAGGTCCTTCTCTCCAAAGCTGCTTTTCAGCTGATGGCTCCCAGCCTGTGTTCATGCCTGGAGTTTTTCTATTCCAGAGGTTCAAGTTTGAATTTGGGTTTTTTTCTTAGTTTTTGTGGATTCTGAGGTCCATAAATCAAATTATACTCAACCCTGAATTAATTGAATTTTTTATAGATAAAAAAAATAAGTTAAAAATAAAAGCAATGAGGAGAGGTTTTCCTTCAGATGAAAAAAATTTCTCCAATGAAAGGCTTGTCAAGCACTGGAACAGGCTGTCCAGGGAAGTGGTTGAGTCATCATCCCTACAGGTATTTAAAAGACATGTAGATGTGGCACTGAGGGACATGGTTCAGCGGTGGACTTGGCAGTGCTGGGTTAACAGTTATCATATCCAGCCTAAAAAGGTTGTTTCATTCTAAGATTCTATGTTTCTTGGAAGCATTGTAAACCTGCAAGGCTTTATTCCACGTACTGCTGGGTAACATCTGAATGAATCTGGTGATTCTAATAAATAACCCTTGGTGCCCTATGTGAGATAATTATTTTCAGCTAATAGAAAGTCAGTAATTCAGATACAATTCTTTAGTTTATCTTTAGACCCACCATTTTGCTTTGACAGAGCAACTGTGTAAAGATTTCATTTTAGGAGGAAAGGTAGGGCTGAATGAATAATCTCAATTATTTTTTCAAGCTTCTTAGATTGGACATTTTCCTACTGAAAGCAGACATTTTTACTTATGAGCCTGGTATCTGTTTTCCTTTGTGATACTTAGCTTTATTTAAAGCTTGTAGGCATAGGCAGCTACAATCATTTCAGGAAAACAAGTTACTAGTATTTCACAATTATGCAGGTATTACTGGCCAAATATATTGCTTTCAAGTTCTCCATGGACCACAAATGATGGTAGTCTAAACAGCCTTTAATCTTCTTATTGACATGAATTTTACTCCTCTGCAAACTGACAGTGCTCTGCCTGAAATAAAAAAAAAAAGCAGATGATCTTATTTTTGCTGTGATTACTTGCATCACAGTTTCTCCTGCTGATGGAAAGGCTGATCAAGGTGATGGAAACCCACACACTTGATTCTTACTCAGTATATTAAAAGATGTCAAGATGCAAGTCCTGAGCTACTTAACTTAGATAAACTTCAACTGCAAGAAAAAGGTGCGTGGATAGTAATTAACAGTGAAGATTAACTTAGGCACACAGTAATTATTACTTTAATGAGAATTCAATAAATTTTTAAATCTGACACTCAGCTTATATTTATGCTGGTAATGCCATATATAAATTGAGTTTTTAAAAAATCATGTTTTACCCTGCCCAAATAACCAGATATTTAACATAACACACTTATATGATAACGTGTTGGGAACTTAATTTCGCAAATTGCAGAATTTGTTTTACCCAGATACACACTCTATACAGATGCATATTTCAAACTGTTCTACAGGGCTTCAAAACACTAGCTGGGCAAAGATATAAAACTCTTTAAAGGTTAGTAAGACATAAATTCCTTGAGGAAAACAAAGGGATGAGGAAGGTCCTTAAGAGACACTGCTGAGGCATTTTCAATTGACAAGAACTGTTAGCAATGCCAGAAGAGGCAGAATTAAGTGATCTTGTAACCTCTTACTAATGCTTACATTTTTGTGCCTAGGCCAAGTCTCAGGACAGAGGCCACTTGTTTTTGTTAGCTTTTGTTTGTTATTTCACTTTTACTGATTTCCTGTTGTCAAAGAACCCAGAGCAAACTATACACTACACTAGAAAGTATGGCTTGAGTCCATCCTGTGCATACTACAGCAAAGCACAACCTCTGATGATTGGAGATGGTCTAACCGATGTAGAAAATCATCCCACCTTCTCCTAAGAACTCTTGAGATGTATGAGTCCATTCCTGTGGCTTGCCATATTCTGAACTAAGCACTGATTGACCCCTAGCCCCAACGAGTATGGTGCATCCCTGCTTACAATCTAAAAGAAAAAAAAATTAAAAATTAATCCTGACCAGTCATATTTTATCATATTCCTGACAACTCTATCCTCCTGCACTCACAGAGTACTTTCACTCATGAAAACCTGTGTTAGCAAAGCTCAGCTTGCAAATATGGGGAAATGAGAAAGTTCTGCTTTGTACTTCTGCATGCTTTAAAAGCTGCCTGTGAAAGGCAGGGGTGAGGGCTGAAGGCAATCATTAAGAAAAGTGGGATTCTAGGATGAAGAACTGGATCAATGCAAGCTGTACTCACCCACCACCATAGAAAGGAGTAACTTATGGTCTTTTTAACTGCAACTGCTTTACTCTTCTTTTGGTATTCTCATGGAGCTTGGCTACAGCCTGGCTGGCTGAGCTGATGGGAAAGGGAAGACAGGCACCTGTGTAAAAAAAAAAATTACAGTAACACATTATCTATAAATCAGCCCAGTAAAGGTCTTCAGCAGGATCCTCAGGAAAACTGAGAGCCCAGACCAGTGCTCAAAGCATCTCTAATTTGATTATTTCTGCTTGTTTGTGAAAGGAAATCTAAAGGTCACTTAAGTCAAATCTGGTTTGAGACTCTTGAAGAAGCAGTGCAAACTATTTCTTTGACTAAGGTATTGCTAATGACTTGCTGCAGTCTCATGTTGCCTTTCCTGTTGGCACAAAGCTCCTTTGGCAGCTGTGGTGAGTGAAAAAACTCCCTCAGTAGCTGTTGCGTGGTCATTTCTACTAAATTTCCAAGCAATATATTCTAGTGTGTTTTCCAGCTCATTAGAGAAGGTGATACATAATCCTGAGACAGAAGTCTGGCCCTGGTTTTTGGAGAGCAAAGCACTGCACAACATGAATATAAAACTGTCAGAACTGCTTGTGGGAATACTTCCAGTTAACTCACATCAGGGTGCCAAGGGATTTAGTCTCAGACAGCATCTATGACAGACCTACATATACTTGGTGCCTTTATAATGACATATAGCCACAGAAACAGCACTCAGAAGACCAATGACCCAAGCTATTACAAAATCAAGAAAAATTATTCCTGACAAAGTACAGGTTATGCACTTTCCAAGATCATAGAATCATAGAATCCTAGAATGGTTTGTGTTGGAAGGAACCTAAAAGATCACCTAGTTCCAGCCCCTCTGCCACAGGAAGGGACACCTTCCACTAGACCAGGTTAATCAAAGCCCCATCCAATCTGGCCTTGAAGACCTCTGGGGATGGGGCACCCACAGCTTCTCTGGGCAACCTGTTCCAGGGCCTCACCACCCTCACAGTAAAAAATTTCTTCCTAATATCTAAACTAAATCTACCCTCTGTCAGTTTAAAAGCATTATCTCTTGTCCTATCACTTTATGCCCTGGTGAAAAATCCCTTTCCAACTCTCTTGGAGGCCGCCCTTAACGTACTGGAAGGTGCTATAAGGTCTCCCCAGAGCCTTTTCTTCTCCAGTCTGAACACTCCAACTCTCTCAGCCTGTCTTCTTGTGCATGTTTCATGGACCTACTGTATTGACAGTCAGCAGTGAAGAAGAATGATTGAGATACAGATCCTGAAGGACCCACATCTGTCAGGAATATCTCTGTGACACGACACAGAATGCTGGGGATGGAAGTCCAGGCATCAGATGCCTCTTATGAGTCCTTTCATTGCTTTGAGGTGTTTTTGCAGTGTAAAGGTAGGGGTAAATTTCAGCTAAGCTTAGGAAAATATTTTTAGGCAGGGTGTAAAATACTGTAACACATCCTAATCAGTTCTAAGTGCCTGAGAAACCCTATTTTGGATATACCTTATATAACCAGATAGTACCTGAGGAATTACTATAGCATCATTTCCTGTCCTTTATTTACTGTAGGAGATCAAACAGCTGATCATAGTAATCCTTCACTTGTTTTCTAGTTAAAATAATCAAAAGAGTTTATATTCCCCTTGAAAGTAAGCTGTGTTGCAGTAGTTGCTTAATGCATTAACAACAATGCTCACCATCTTGTCTTCTCTTCTGCTTGGGAAAGCAGCTCAAGCTCTTCCCAAGGAACACAATCCCATTTCACTTCATGTGCCCTGACTTTGTACCACAGTGGAGGAGCCCAGAGACAAAACTGTTCCGTCCCTTGAAAACTAATGTTCATAGAAGTTGTACATTACAACATCTGGATTAACAAGTTATTATTAATATTTTCTTCAATTCATACAGGCATAAGTCTTCAAATTAGGGAGGTGCATCAGAAAGTAAAGTGAGTCCACTGTTTAAAAAAAATAAACATTTACTGTCTAGAAGAATTGCTTGTTGCTCCTCTTTTAATTTACTTCCATATATTTTACTGCTTTTTTCCCTATTTAGCTTGATCCAGGTAAATTTTTCTGGTTACGTCAACTTAAATATATTGACTAATCTTCTATGTCTTTTACAAATATTCATCTGTAGTGTTTGTTCTTTACTCTTTTCATTATTAAATAATGAGATTGTAAAACCATAATTTAGAAACTTTGTAAAAAGAACAGTCAAATCAATTATGAGTTTGAAAACACCTTAATTTTCCTTTTCCGTGCTCTATATTGCAGTGACAAATAATAATCTACCAGTGGGAGACCTTTCACTGTCTTGGGGTTTTTTTCTAGAAATCTTGCATATTGGAAGTGATTTAAGGTGCGCTGCCTCTTTTCCCTGACAACAGGCAGCTAGTTTCAAACTACCTGTGGTAGTTTCAAACTAGCCATGTTGATGATGTGCATGGCAGTTCTGTAGGGAACTCTGCAGTGGCAGTCATGGTGTTTTGTTTCTGACAATAATTTCCTGCTTACTCATTACTGGAAGTTTGAAAATGCCTTGAAAGAAGACAGACCTCTGCTTTCATCCTTCCGAAAGTTGGAAGGATGGAGAAGAAAGAGTGTGTGATATCATTACAGTCATGCGGGTTTTTCTTCCCATCTAGCTAAATGTCAGCCTTTTAACAATCCGGCTTAAAGACTCATTTTAACAACACACATCAAAGGCAGATTCTCAGGTGAGTTGGATGGTGTGGAAAAGTAGACAACAAATAGTGACTTACAGACATGGAGAGCATCCAGCTGAGAAACCACACTTCTGTGTTAATCGCAAAAGGACTTCAAGAAAAGCTGAGAATTTAATCTCCTCTTTGTGGTCTTGGTCTATTTTTGTTCTGGAATGGGGGAAAGGTTGGTTTCACCTTTCATTTCTTACACAACAGAACAAATTTATAAAAATGTTTGCATTTTTTCCTGAAGGTTTTTACTCTGGCTATGGCTATTATAAAAATGCTGTAACAACAAGAGCTTAAAAAAAATGTTTAATTTCCCTTAGGTTGTGCAAATAACAGTACTGTGCACATATCCAGGGGCTTCTGCCAGCACGACTAAGTGAGTTTTAAGCTGAATAAGAGGCCCTTTACCAACTCAGTTGGTTCATCTTTCTTAATAACTACATTCTCCTAGAACTACCAGTGTTTTGTCTGATAAAAAAAAAATTCAAAGAAAAAAAAGAGAAGCAAAGGGACGAAGGAAAGCATGGACCATAGACAAGGTTAGTTCAGTTGTCAGCTCTTTGAAGAAGGAAGCAGAAGGCAGACAGCAGAGCCTGTGTCATGTAATTCTTTTGTTGTTTCCTCTGCTTTTCAAAGTGCCTTGCCTATTTGATCTCTAGCAGATAGGTGCTGTAACCGTTTTTATGCCAGAAGCTTACCATTATAAATTCCTTTTTAGAACTATATTTCACCGCCAAAGGAAAAAAACTTTACCTACTGATCTTCAAAAAAACTTGCAAGCAAAATGGCAAGCTATCATACCATCATTACCTTAATTTTTCTTTCTGAGACTCACTTTCACTTTTTTTGGGGTTGCACTCTCTCAATGAATGTGGTGCTACTTGACATTTAAATGTCCAAATCCCCTTGAATGGCATTACTGCGAACTCTGCAGCCATATACCATATGTGACTGGCTAATACACATAAGAATCAAGAGATATATTTCATGATGGACAGCTAGACTTATAAATTCATTTTATTATTCCTCTCACCTCCTCAACCCCATGAAAACAAATTTTCAACTAGCTACTGTTATTTTAAGAAGAGAGTAGGGAGAGTATATACCGGCAGGCTGATCAACATAAGTCACCCAACTCTACCAGCTAAAGGTTTGAGTCTGCAAGCTGTTTCTTGTGGGTGGATCTCTTGCTTAGATTGAGAAGCCTGCAGAATTTAAACTGAAATCAGCTACAGCTAAGTTATAAGACAAAAACTCTCACTTTAAAAGTTATTCAAATGAAGAACCACTTACAGAGTGAAGTCACTTTACATATTATTATTATTATTGTTATTATTATTATTGTTATTATTACCCCTTTCCATTTGCTCCCAATTAGTTTTAACATACAAATGTTCTCTGTATTATTTTTTGTGTGTGTTTGTCTCAGTTTGGGCAATAAGAAGAGGTTTTAATTGCTACATCTACCTGGATGAAATCCAAAATGTGAACCAAATATCCTACTCTTTTCCTTGAAAAGCTGTGGACAAAGGCAGAGCAGGGGAGCCAGGGATGAGGAGGGAACTAAAAATATGCCCAGTACAGTCAACAGTTTCATTCAGGCTCATCTCTGTAACCCAAGGGTGTTTGGCAATGATTCAGTTATAATAGATGTTCTGTACTGTTCTCAGCTAGGACAAAATAGCAGATTTTGTCTGGTTCTTGTGCCAGTAAGGAAAGGAAGAATAAAGGACACTTTCCTGCATCAGTTTCTGCAGCAGAACATGACAGATTAATTCAAAATAATTCAAAGTATTACTTAAAAATAATGCCCATAGCATTCTGCAGAAGAGAGTATTGATTTCTACTGGTGGCTGTACTTTTGCCTGTAAATGTGGACCTCTCTGCTTTACCCATTGAAAGGGTCCTTCTGCCTACAGAGAAAACATTTAGCCTTCAGGAAGGGAGAATGAAAAACATGATAAACTTGCCATGATTTTTCACACTTACTCAGTCTAGACTGGTGTAAGTGGCTGTCACACAGAATCAGGATCAGGGCTCTGCTGTGCTGCAGAAGCAGTCCATGGCCTGAGCAGCCTGCAGGAAACTAGTCACTGTAGAAACCTGGGTATTACATCTTGCTGGGTGGCCAGCCAATAAACCCAACTAGTTGCATTTTTTGGTGTATAAAAATATAAGCATGCACAATTTCTACCATTCATTCAATTTTCTTGTTTCTTCTGAGTTAGAAGTCATGGACTCATTTGCAGGATTTAACCGGTAACGCCTGTCATGTTGAGCTGGAAACACCTCTAGAACATGTCAGAATTATAGTGCTTACAACGCCCACAGGAAACAGTTGTCATCCCACAGGCAAGTGAGAAATTGAGTCACTGTATCATCATCATCTCCTACAGCCCAGCCAAGTGTCCTAATTATAACATCATTCCATATTCAGAATCATCTAAGTAAAACGAAGCCTTAAAGATAAGTGCCTTGCCGGCACAACACGTCAGCTCACATTTGAATTCTGGACATCTAGGCTGGGTCACGACCTGCAGGATGACCTCAGGAGGTACTGCAGGCCAAAGTAAGGGCTATTCAATATTCACCTGATGAAGTGCTTTATGCTGAAGAGAATGGATCATGGCCATCACTGGAAACTTTCCACCCAAACACACAAAGCTCCCTCCCCTGTGTTCACTAGTACACATACTGACTCAACACTACATTGGTTTACTGAGCTTTCCTCCCAGTCAAAGGGGCTAATTTGATTACTTAATGGCCCTTAGAAAGCAAATTTAAAAGTAATCATCTATTCTTAGCTCAAACACTTTTCCTTTCAAAAATGTTTTCCCAAGAGCTCAGCTCAGATGAATGGGATGTTTTCCACAGAGCTGTGCAGCTTGCCTACAATTTCCACCCACCAGCCTGAAGATGGTACTGATAGTTAAAGGTACAATACTGCAAAAAGGAAGAAAACCCTCCTATTACAAACACAAGAAAATCCTCTTTCAGTTACACAACTGTCATCTGAGTAGAAAATTACAGGTATTGCAGATTTTTGTGGTTTGTCATACATTAGCTTCAAGTTTTCTCATGGAATGCAAATCTTCTCCAAGTGGGCAGATATGCTGTACATGCACTCCCATCTGAGCAAGATTGCACAGGTAATGGTGATGGCAATTGTTAATCCCAGAAAACAATACCTGGATTCTTCCATGATGAAAACACTGTTTTCAGCAGCTGAAATGATGCCTTCCACCTGAAAATTCAAAGACAAAACCAAGACCCATAAATATAAGTCATAAAAGTTATTAAAAATCTTTGGTACGAAATACTTCCCACAGATTTGCTTCCATTTTTTTAATTGCAAATCAAATACGTATTTTAGAACAATAAGCATCAACACTTGGTTTCTATTTTTTCCCCATAGGAAATAGTATCTTTATCCCAGAGAAGCTGCAAACTTAGACATGGCACACATTGTCTGGACTGACTTTGATTTCCTACCTTTTCTACCAGGAAATTCAAGTAGTTTTTCTTGAAAACTTCCTGCATTTCTCAGGTTTGTGTTTCCACTACCCAGATGCCTCAAAGTAACTTTAGATGTTAGCACCTTTAATGCTTTCACCACAGACTTCTTTTAAAAACTCAGGACAAGAAATGCACAAATAGAAAAGGCTTATTTGATAATAATGTCATACTTGGAGAGAAAATCTTCTGGTATTTCTGCGCATGCTGAAGAAACCTGAACTTATCCTTCCTGAGATTCACCAGCCTGACTAACCACCTCACAGACAGAAGATTTTTGATGCCACCACTGGGTTAAAATTGTCAAAATCACAATTTCAGGCTCTTAAATATCAGTTGTGTTTAAGGTTAGTGAAAAAGTAGAAGAGGGAGACTGACCTGTTATATTTAAAACAGTGATTCTTGGGCAACAACTGAGATAGCGAAGCTGGTAAGAGCATCTCTCCCAGAGATGTACATATCAGAAATGTTGATTAGCCTGTTGATTTGATTGGGTGAAAAGGTTACACAAAGTCTCTTCAGCATTCCTTATTAAAGAGACCTTTTCCTTTCACTTGATTATGACTACTCTCAGTCTTCTTGTACAAGTAAATTTCAAAATATAAAGCAGTATTTAAAAAAAAAAAAAAGCAACTGACAACCTGTTTTATGTAATCATTCCAGCAGGGCATTTTGTGTTTGTCAAACACCAAAGAATTCTGGATGACTGTGGAAAACATGTATATTGCAATGTACCTGCAATGACATCAGTGATGCATTTATTTCTAAACTCCGTTAACATGAAAACATCTAAACGCTGAACTGTCCCAAAGACATTTGTGGGTGCTGAAATGGAGTACAGTGCAGAATCTTCTGGTTAAGCTACATTTTATCATGAAGTGGCCAATAACTGAAATGGAAGCTCTTCCCACTTGGGTTGGATAAGACAAAGCAGAGTTGACAGGAGCTCTCCACCATTCCTGGTCATCATACTGATGACTGGACTACTGGCTAGCTGGCTTAGGCTTCTCCCTCTTCAGCGTCCAAGTGCTGCAAATCTAATACTACGATTTTTAACCTTTCCAATGCAACCTACAGAGAGTGTCATCAGCAGATTCCCCTTCTGGAACCTAACTTTCAAGCCCTATATAATTTGGGCCCTCTTTGAATCCACTCTCTAAAGTCCTTTTAAAATCTGCCTTAACGTAAACCTTAACACCCCATTCTGTATTATCCAGAACCACTTTTTAAGGGTACAGAAATCTAATGGATGCTGCTAGACAGTCTTTGCACAGATATGTGGGGCAAGTAACTCAGCTATGCTTACACTCCAGCTCAGAAGAATGCCAAAAGCATGCAGGTTTACTTTAAAACATCTTCTCTCTCTTTTTTTCTTTATATGAGAATTCTACCAGTCCATTAAACTTGTTAAACTTTACAAGTAAATAAATTAAGTAAATGAATGTCCTCAGCAAATCTCTTTTGTTCTGTAGCAGAAGTATCTTCCTTGCTTCTGAGCACAGTTTTAGATTTAAAATAGTCCCTCAAAGGTATTTCTTAAGTAAACCATTCAAAGGCCTTTATAGGGTAACCTTCCTCCTCTACCCCTGCTTTGTATCAATGCTTATTTAAATTTGAAGTTTATAAGAAGTTTGATACTACAATGTTTTTATATTCATGCTGAACTTTTCCACAAAACAACTCAAAACTTGTATGTACCAGTTCTGCCTTTCATTGTATAAACCTATTATTTAGATTTTAGGGGGGTTGTTTTGGGTTGCAGTTTTTTTGGTGTTTGTGTGGGGTTTTTTGTTGTACATCATCACAGCATTGTTGGGAAGGCAGCACGGTGCTGTTTGTCCTCTGTAGTGTTAGCATGGGGTTTTTTCTGTCTTTCATAACTTGGGCACAGAAGAATCTTCCATTTTTCCTGCTTGGCAATGCCATGGGTACTTCTCCTAAATGATAGTTCTCTGAGACCAGGAAAGTAGTTCACAAAGCCGTACTGAGCCATGCAATTCAAGTAATTTCCAGTGAAAGTTTTGATAGTGAGAGAAGAGAGGACAGACAGTTCAGAAAAAGCATAGCAGGCACCACTGTAGCTGGTGCTGGCACTAGGAAGCAGATGCTGTTGGGAAATTACCAGACTAGAAAATAATGATTGAACTCTACTATGGCTCAGACTTGCACATGACCAACTTTAATAAAATGAGATGAAGGACTAAGTTTGCAGTGCTGTGAAATGCTACGGTGAGAAAGGAGGTGCTGCAAACTGCAGAGAATAGAAGAATCAGCAATTAAAGCAATTAAGTAGAGGAGTGAGACAGCTATTTTTACCAAGGTTTTTGGAATATCCACCCTGAAAACCACGATAGCTCCTCGCACTGAATGCCAGCCCAGGGGCACAGTGTGAAATGCCAAATCTCTGCAGAGGTTTTAGCACAAGTTCATAACTCTTCCACCTCTATATCCTTCTTAGCCTTTTCAGGAAAGACTAACTCCAATGATATCCACATGGTGACAAAATAAGCCAACAACGGAGAATGGTCTGCTATTCTGAACTACGAGATACTGTCAAATGTTGATATATACCATTAAAAGCATGCATGTTGGTATAACTGCTGATTTTTTTTTCCAATCATCACACGTCTAAAATGTGTGGCTTCCAGTAACATGTGAGATCTTAAGATGAAGCAGGGTCGTGGGGAGGACAGAGTAAGTGCATGAACCCACCCCTGTAAGGTAATTTGTACACACATGCTAAAGCTGTAAACCCTGGGCTGCTAGTAACAATCTGGGGCATGATAATCCCGTAAAGAGCAACAGCAGGTGCTAAAGTGCTTAAAGTAAATCACTCCTGCAGTCAGCGAATTGTTATTTATGTCAGCACCATCAGTGAGTGCAAATTTGACAGGATGGGCAACAGCCAGTGACCCCTGATACTGAGGGCTGGGAACTGCAGGGCATCCCCAGGCAGGCAGGGCAGGGCTGGCAGGGACCATCTTACTGTCCCAGCCAAGAGCAGCACAAACTGGGGGAGTGGTTCGGGAGTGGGGGGTACCAGGGGCAGTCCCAGCCCCAGGCATAGAGAACCTCCCTGGAGATGTGGACAGCCACGGCTGGGACATGACATCTCCCTGCAAGTGGAGTTGGAGACTGGGCCCCTGTGAGGGGAACCAGGGTCAGGCCCAGTCCAGGATGACTCAGGCATCAAAGCAGAGCCAAGAAATTGAGAATGGTTTTCTAATATAAAGTGGTTTTTTTCTAGTTTCGATTAGGTTGGCAAGAGATATTTTTTCTACCTCTGTCAAGCCTTTTGTTGATTTAGATTGTTAAGAATTCCCATTACTTGTCCAGCTTAGTACATCTGTGGATACACCCAAAACCACCAGCCACTGGAGAGGTACTAATACAAATTAAGAAACATTATCAAAGGCAGTAACAAGCACAACGCAGTATGTTTTCAGACTTGGTGCTTTGCTGCAGATGTCTGGAGTGGAAAACACAAGCACAGACATCTGGTCTTCCACTTCCTCTCCTCACCAGCCAGCCAAGGACACAGGGCTCTTGCACCCCTCTGAGCCAAGGCTGAGATGTGCTTTCTGACAGCAGCCTAAAGCAAGGCAGATTATTTCATCCAAACACTTTAAGTGTATTTGGACAAATTATTCTTGCCTCAGAAATATATTATACTAACGAAGTTATGCTGTCAGCTATTACAGGCCTGGCAGGAATTGCAAAGTATTTTAATCCTCCAAGAAGACATTTGCCCAGCCAACAATTTGACTTGTCATTAGTAAATTCCTAACTCAGCTTTTTAAGAGACAGGAACACACAAAAAAGTATTGCTCTCCAGGTTATTGATTCCTATCACAACTGCATCAGATATCTTCTAAGGTCTGTAGTGAATTGATCTATGGGGTCTATTTTTCCACCTTCATATTGGAGATCCATAGGCTTTAGGGAGAGCTTTTTAGCATAATGCAGCAGCTTGTTGGTTTGATTTCAAAAGAGTATGGAGCTTGCCAAATATCTTCAAAAGGAAGGAAAAAAAAGAGGTAATTTGTCCTTGTAAATACTGATGCAACATGAGAATAGATCTGTGGGCCTTGTAAATACGATGCTTGAAGAACAGGTCCTCTGTTGTGTGCTGGGCTGCTGCAAGAGGAAAAGATAAACTCAAATTTGACTCAAAGAGTCAAATTGCAGCTCAGTACTGCTTCTTAGCCCAGACCCTCTACTGATCCTGGGTGTCACTGTCCCTAACCAGAGCAAAAAAATAAAGACATTTTCAAGAACAGGATTCAAACAGGTCACTCTGAATTTGTCATCTTATAATTCCTTTCTAGTCAGCAGAGACAAATCCGGTTGATGTGTCATCTGATCCATTTTAAGCATCTTTGTTAGAATGAGAGGAACTGCACTCTGAAGGTGTCTGGTTTTTTTCCAATTGACTGCTCATGGAGTCAATATCTCAGACTTCGATGTAGGAATTTTAGGCTGCAAGTTGGGACAGATGATTCCCACACTAATTTTCCTTCTTTTCCTCTTTTTTTAAAGATGTCTCAGTATCCTATTCCTAATCTGCACAGGACAAGTCAAGAGTGCACACCCTTGTTGCTTCATACTTCCCCCAAAATAACTCTTCAGCTGTGCACGATTTCTCTGGTCCCTAGCCTGCATTGCTCTGTTACACCACATCATCCCTTGGCAGATTCCCTACAGGACACTTGCTAGTTGCGTAGAGGGACAAGACAGCTGCAGGGGTAAGTGCCTGTTGTACAATGGTGGGGGAGTAAGGCATGTCCTGGACCTCACATGGGATCCTTCTCTTTACAGGGCTGACATTTTTCCCTTTGACAAGACTTGCACAGCAACTGGTGTCACTGCTGGGTTGTGTTCATTGGGAAATACCCCTACATGAATCTTTACTGGTAAAGCCACAGCTGTTAAGTTTCTGCACCAACATAGCACCAATATTATTCATTTGATTTAGGTCAAGCTTACTTAGGTTCATTGTGGTTTTACCTGTTGGCTTCCTTCCAGCACTGGTGTATTTATCTTCATATTACTTCTCAGCATCAGAAACATACTATTTTCCCCAATTTACAGATGGGTACCTGAAGCAGAATTTGTCTTCTCCCAGGCAACAAAGGGAGAGGTGAGGAAGTTACAAGGGAACCGGAGCATAGGAACATTACCAGCCTAGAAAGGAGGTCTGTGGGGTGTTGCATCAGGTTGCTCAAAGAAACACAGGGAAAGCCTGGTCCCACCCACATGCTGCTCCTGTAGATGTGGGATACTCATTTGGGCTCTACATGGTTCTTGGTTGGTAGTTTATGGCACAGATTAGTGAAGTATTCCAAGATTAGTGAAGCATTTAAAGCTGTAACCTATAAGGAACTACATAAAATGTTTGTATTTTTGGAAGAGAGGGTTAAACTGATCTGCCAAGTTAAATTAAGTACTGCCACCTCATTATCCATTCTAGAGCTGTCTGCCACTAGTTGACTCCTATATGTAAAGAGATAAAACTATTGCAATTAGCTATGATTTTAGTCCATGAACTTTACATCTGCTTCCAGATAGAGCTAGTTCAAAGAACAGTTTATGTGTGACACCAGTCTGGCAGCAATAGCAGAAGCATAATAACACAGAGGTTCGTTTATTTATTAATTTATTTATTTATTTGCCACCTAGTCAGTTTTTATATGGAGAACCCATTAAACAAAGTATTTAAGCAGTGAAATATCTTGCTTATTATTAATAATATCCTGAATATGAAGAAGTTCATCACCCAAGTTCTCTGGAACCTGTGGTTATGCTGCATAATTACACAATAATCAGCCACACAGTCAAGGCCCATCCAATAAACATTTGAATTTTATTCTATCATAGAATAATACACTGCTGCAATACTGATTCATTAAAAACAAAAATCATTATTCAATACCCTCTTAAATCATGAGACTTTAAAAGGAAAAAACAGGGCTTTTTTTTAAATTTTGAGCTTTTAAATTCATATTTTCCAGAAACAATATGGGTAGTTACTTAAAATGCCTTAGTTACCTCAAAATCATGACTCATTTGAAATCAGTGGACTTACATGAGTAACCATGTAAAGGAAGCATCCTCTCAAGTGCCAAATTTCCCAGTACACTTATGAACGGCACTTACACACTACAACCAGTATATCTGGAATCCCATTACATTCTATGCTGCAGAAAGAAGTTTGGCCAGACTCCAACTTTCACCTCTGATCCTGTCTTCCTCTGATATTTAGCTCCATTCAATCACTGACCACAGCTGTCAGCAATTCAGTTTCCCATTTTTGCTTTCAGATTCCTTCAGTTTCATGTATGATGCACAGAGACTTTAGAGGAGACAGGATGTACCTTGCAGTGGTCAGCAACTTTACAAAAAATCACGCTGTTGTGAGATCAGGGGAAAACCCAACATCACTACACTCTTATATCTACTTTAAATAAACCTAACTCTGTGATTCTGTCTTCTATGCCTAAAATAATAATACATACTATGCTTTGAAGGATGAATTAATCCTAAATGTGCTGAAATATTTGTATAGAAGATATTGTATAAAGCTTTGTAACTGTTCATTGTGTAAATGGCAACAAACCGCATTTCACAGGACAATACAATAGCAGTAAGAAAATCCCACACAGATAAATCCAGGAATTTCAAAACAGTTATCCACCCAAAACCACCAAACCAAACAAAAAATTCCTACATGGTTGGGGATAGCTAGAAGTGTAAAAGTTTTATTTAGGTCCAAAGAGACAACACAGCATTTCTGAAACCAAAATCTTCATTTGCTGTCGCAAAGAAAGGAGAGTTGTCAAACTTAATCATCAGATTTGTCCTTATTTTCAGAAAGACAGAAAGAAAATGAAATGCCAAGTAATTCAAAGTAAGAGTACAGAACTATAACCACTTTGCACAGCAAACATTACAGCTGGACATTGGATTAGAATTAGAATGTTTTAGTGCTTAATTATCATACTACTGGGTTTCAAAACCCGAGATTGCTCCTGGCAAGCTGAAACAGGGACTAAATAGGATATAGTCTGCTCTTCTCCTTAGGTCATTACTGTACCAAACTGTACCAATAAATGTCTCTTTTTAGGCTTCAAAAAAAGTGTCTTTTTAAGTCCTCAGTGTGGACCACGCATGAGGGAAGCATCCAAGTCTCCTGCTGTGAATAAATGCTGTTCTGCCATATTTGTGCAATGTTTCCACCTATTCTGAGGTTCTATAGGGTCCAGACTTGAGCGCATTAACTAACATTTGAGTCAGCAGTAGTAAATGTCTGCTGCATGAATCCAAGAACTCAATCTTCTTTACTACTGCAGATGTCCCTTGTCTTTTATGCCAATAGGACCATTACGGAGATTTTTCCCCTTTTCTTATCCACAAAGACAAATGCCAGCACAATCAACCTTCAGAAATTTTCCAGGCGAAAAACAGGAACAGAAGAGTGCTAACCTAATCAGCTGTGCTATGCTGTGAGGAAAAAAACTGGCCAGGCAGATCACCCTGCTTATGAAAGAATAATACCAGGTGCATTATGGTAACATTAGAAATATTCATAATAAATTTCATACTATGTAAGAGGAAAAAATGGGGTTTCCATACTGAATAGGCTGCAGGTCTTTTCCCTCTGCATTTCAGAATGACACCCTTGGTCTGTCTGGATGAGTTTAATTACAGCAACCCTTTAATGCTGCCAGTAATAAAGAACTATCAGTACTGCTCTTAAAGAGGCAAAAAGCTTTCATACTGCAAAGAGCTAGGGATGCTCTTAAAATAATAAAGGGCAGTCAAGCAATCACATTTGCTCTGCCAAGAGCTTTTAAGACGTAACCCAGAGGCTTGAAGCTTTATTACCAAAACTTTTTTCCTGTTGCCACTTGAAAAATTTCTGCTGAAGTTTAATGACTAAAATGTAGGTAATAAAACTGCAACAATAATTGCATGCTTAAGAATGAAAAGACAAAGTAGTTCTATTTTAACTGAAGAGATGAATTTTAGGGTTGGCAGTATTTTGGACCCTAAAAGTACAGGGATCAGTGCCACTGAAGAATACAAGAGATTTTTATGGAACACAGACTTCGGATACAAGGGTTCATCTGAGAGTTCAAATTTCAAAGAGCAACATACCAATATCAGGAAAAATAACATGGATATAGTGTTTAAAAGAAACAACCTCTTGATAAGATAGTCTCTGAAGAATCCTTAGTAAAAATGCTCAATTTTTCTGTTATTTCTACCCATTACTACTGCCTAAAGTAGCTGGAAATGGTGCCGTGCTTCTGAACCATGCAGACGGAAAGTGGGAGTCAACACAGGATCTGTGGCAAGCCAGCTTTTAAAAAGGTTATGTTTGAGACAATAGGTTACATCAGTTTGCCTTTTTCTTCTTCTTGGTTGAGAGGTCAAAATTGCTAGAGGTATGTCTGTTTTCCATGGTTAATGTGCAGAGCTCAAGGGTCTACATAGTGTATAAAGACATTAAATATTCTCCAAGTATTCTAACATCCTCACACCCAGAATCACTGCTGTGAAGCAGAATGGAAAGGATCAGAGATCATCAGTGGAAAGATGGCAAGTAGAAGAAAAATTCCATTAGACAGAGGCACACTTATAAGACTGCCAAGAAGACATGCCAATCTGGTTCTGGCATTACAATAAGGCACTAATACTTTCATTTTCAATTTAGAAACTTTTAATCACTTTTAAAAGTGACTGGAAATTCTTGGCAGGAACATTATATCAGTGCTTTAGTTGTGGAAGCTTGTTCACTCCTACAGTCTTTTTAATTGATCGTTTTCGAGGACTAACCATCTTCGGGTTTCCTGGAACACTGTATCTCCCTCTGAAATAAAATGGATGAAGTTAGTCATCAAGTGTCACATTCCCTGTAAGCTTTAACTGCTAGAAATGTGCATGCTTTTTATATTTGCATATCTGATTACTATCATGAATTAATAGACCTGAGATAGAAAAAAACAAGTATACTTCTGGGTTTGCAGGTTAGCAGAGCATCTAATTATTCTGCATACAAACTCAATCTTCATCTCATGATTCCTGTTATGTAAGTGATGGCATTTGAAGAACATGAATAGAATACTAAACACAGGCACTAAGAGGATGATACCTGCCTAAGGAGGCATTTTTGTCAATTAAAGAATCCCCATCAGAAAATGGATAAACACTTCATGTAGATGTAATTACAGTGCAGGTATTCCACTCTGGAGACCCAGGCTCTCAAGCCCATGACTGTAAAAAATGGCCATAGGAAATGCTTCCAGCAGACTTCTGAAGTGGTACTCATCATGAATACATACACCACCTACATGAAACCTACTAGAGCTTCATCTTGATCATCTAAGAAGTCAGTGGAAATGTAAGCAATTCTCCAGGGAAAGAATGGTTCTTCCCCAAACTGGAAGGATTACGCTCATGACCAAGCAGCATGCATCTCTGCTCCTGTGCAACATACCTCTGTTTCTCTTCCTGTTCATTACTCGAGAGGACAGACAGCACTTTACATACTCCAATGACAATAATAATACAGAGCTTCAATGTCTTTCTCAAGTAAAGGCATTTTCAGGGAAAATATATCACAACGTCAAATCATTATATTCATCATGACAGCCAGATATGTGGTAGAAGCTGTGATGATGTGATCTGTGCAAGTTTCAAATTTACAGGCAAAGAGCCAACAAAGTCATCCCAAGGGATCACTAGTCTTCCTGACAGATCCTTTGTTCCAGCTCTGACAAGTGGTCTTGGTCTTGAAGGGAGAACTGTGCCCATACAGATATGGAGATGGTTCTACTCACAGCTGGAACATCAGAACCCAAGCCCCCATGAATGCTCAATAATCGATTGTTTAAATTCAAATTAGTTGATTACTCAAAATCAGTTGATTAATCTGTAGATGACTGTACAGCTTGATGAAGCGGACAGAAAATATCCATGTGGAATTTGTTAGGCATAAAACCTCTTTCAGTCAAAACCAGCTGGACTTACAGACTAAAAAGCCAGGTAGCTGCAGCAATGCAGTGTTGAAACTGAGCTAATAAGCCCCATTATATGCCTCAGTATAAGAGAGGGCTCAGAATGACAATAAATTGGCTGCTCACATTGCATCAGAGATATGAGTCATCAGGACATCCATGTTCTTCCCAACCCTCAGCTAGCCTATCTTCTTGTCCTCTGAATAACCAAAAAAAAGACCTCTACTGAACTGAATGCATCAACAATTAGTGTTCACAATTACTACTCAAAAATCTGTTCAGTGTTGCTTTAATATACAGGTTGGGCTTTCCATATCTGTACCTATAGCTAAAACAAACATTAACCATAGTTTCTTAGTACGGTTTGAGATCCAATGCAGGCATTTCGTGAAAGGGCAACAGAGGTGAAATAAGAACTCTGGACAGAAAATCTTCAAATTATTCTCAAGAATATGCTTAATTTCAATCATGCAGGTTTTCTCTTATTTTAATGAAATTAGTTCTCATTAATGTCAGCTTGAACAAACAACCCTCAGGTTGTAAATCAATAAGGGCATAATATGACAATGGCTGTGGTTTCCTTGTGATGATCAAGGAGTGCATACTCACACTCTAGTATTTCCTTAAAATACAAACTGTGTCAAATCCCCATTCTTAAATCCATTTTGCCAACAAAGATCAAAGTTTGTCCTGAAAGTTCTAAGTCACTGGTTATAAAAGGCAATCCTTTGCAAATTAGGTCCTTTTATACTAAGAACAACTTAAAAGATGAACAATTATCTTTATGGATTTAATGTACTTTGAATAGTTAAAAAAGAAAACCTCTTAGGTAAAAAGGATTGAAAAGGGATATTTGTAATAATACACATCTTCTGAGACCAGCAGTTACAGGACACTTTATTTTATTTTACACTTCATTTTCTTTTGTTTGATACAAAGAAAATTACAGAAACACATTGTCGTATAATTTCAGGGTAGTAATGCTCTACTAAAATAGATTGTAAAAAAATCCTGACATAATCTCAGGTCAGTGCTAACTCTCAGCAAATCTCAGTATCTGGCTGATGATATTTAATTTCAATGCACAGGCAGTGAATTCTCCTGGTTCTAGCTTTCTAATCTTCTCCATATGAACCACATTAAATATCACTGGGGCCAGAAGCGACACTCTGGCATATGGGGCACTTCAGTATCCCACAGTGCTTTTTCTATATGAAGAAACTTCAGTTACAGAATTGAATTCACACTGTATTACATTAATTCATATTCTACTAATATCCTCTTCTGGAGCATGAAAGTTCACTGTTCCAATTTACAAAATCCTGTGATTCTGTGCTTACACAGAATGAGAGGATAGAGCTGGTAGGCAAACATGTCCACAAAATTTCATGCTCATAATTTACTCATTATATTTTCAGATGATGCCAATATATACTGTGTATGCTCGTTTTAATAATATGGGTAAGTGGGTTTGCAGAAGGGTATTTCATGTGAGATACTAAATACATAGAAACCATACTAGCTTAAGAAGTCTCTCAATACAAAGTATTTGGGAGAGTTCTAAAAGCAAATATTACATCTGCTTACTTACACACTTTTGTAGGTATCTGCTTTTGGGCACTGGAGGAAAGTTACTGGGTTCAACAAAATGATTCCCTCTATTCTTCATACTTTATATTCTTAACATTTCCAGTTCAGGTAAAAAATAAATCTCCTCCAATTTCAAGCTTATCTACAAGCATTACAATCAGAAATTAATTTTATTTCTATATATCTCAGAGCAGGTGGACTCTTCAAATTTATATTTCCAACCCATACAACTAAAGAGAAATCTGTTAAACAATGAAGCCTTTGTATGTTGACATCTAAAATCACACTATCATCCACAAAAAGCTTTACAATCCATTGGCTAAAAAGGACCTAGCAAGGTACTTATTTAATTGATTTACTCTTAATGTACTAAGGGGTATACTTGTTGCTCTCAACTCTGCAGTAATATAAAAAAAATATCCATTTCAAACACAGGTTAAAAAGAAAAATCATCAGAAGCATTTTAAGATTTAAAAAGGCCATTTAAATATATGTATTTTCAACATTGCAAGATATTTCATATTAAATAAAACTGATTGAAAAACAGTATCAAAAATTATGTTAAGAGCAATACTTTGTCAGTGGGGTTACACTTAGTGATATTTACCACGAACAGAAATTTGCAATGTTTAAAGCATATAATAAATCAGAAAACAGGAAATATAAAGGAAATTTACCTCAGTATCTGTTTTTCTCCCTTGCCAGTCAGAGCATCTGGTTTTTGCCTTTCAACAATTTTAAGTGGAGCTGAGGTCTGTAATAGCCAAATTTTTACAAAACAAGTTAAATCCTAACCACAATCACAGTTAAGGAAGTAAATATTTCCAAACTAGTTTTGACGTACTATGGCCTTACTGACCTAAAGTATTTTAAGCAAATATTATACTGATGCCATGTTGATTTAGGTAATTGAACATATACCAAAATCCCTTGCTGTGCAAAAATACCATTATTTATTAAGATGGATGATGAGAGAATATGTAATTTCAATCAGCATATTTTTGGTGATTTTCCCTATAACTCCACGTTTCCAATGAAGAAGCATTATGTTTCTAACACACTTCCCTGAATGCAAAACAAAATAAATTGTAGTCACTTAATTGTCTTTTTGAATGGTTAAACCGTTAAGAATGGAAACTACATCATCAAGTCCAACTCCCTGCTCCTTGCAGGACTACCTAAAACTAAACTCTATACGAAGAGCATCATCCAGATGCTTCTTGCAGTCTGACAGGCTTGGTGCTGTGACTAATCCCTGGGGATCCTGATCCAGTGACTGACCACCCTCTCAATGCAATGAAGAACCTTTTCCTAATGTTCAGTCTGCACTTCCCCTGATGCTGCTTCATTCCATTTCCTCGCGTCATATCTCTAGTCACCACAGAGAGGAGATCAGCAGCTCGCTCTCTGCTGCCCTCCTTGAGGAAGTTGTATACTGTGATGGATGTCGTCACTGTGGTGGTTTGAAACTCCCAAGAATCTAATTTTTAAGTTCAAGCCCCCCTCCCACAGTTTGCCCCTGTGAGAGGGTTTAGTGATGGTATAGACTTGATATCTTTTTCATCTCATGTGGAGAGTTTTCAGACAAAACACAACCATTCGTTATTGGGGGGAAGGGGAAAATATTTACAAAGGTTTATTTACACACACACATATATATATTTACATTGAATTAAATTCCTCCTTTCCTTCAATAAAAGCCTAAGAAGAAAAGAGAAAAGTATTTCTGTCACTCCTCAGGCCACAGTTCCTTCATTTCAGTTTTTTGTGGCACTGGTTAGTGTCCTTCATTTTCCTGAGGCAGCAGCTTTAAGTATGGCAGTCAGGATTTTGTTCTTACTTTGTGGAAATTCCAACCCTGAGCCCGAGCCTTCAGGGGATTTCCTTGTAGATCTTCACTCCTCTTGGGTTAGAACATTGAAGGCAGCTTTCAGTTCAGTCTTACCAAAGCTCTTTTGCTCTGTCTCAGCTAGCAGGCATGATAGAAGCAGCAGCAGCAGCAGCAGAGGGCAAGGCCACCTCCTCCACATTCTGTCCTGGCTCAGCTCTCAGGACGACTTTGGGTTTTCAGCTCCTTTCTCCCTCTCTCTAGCTGCTGCTGCATTTTGGGACTCCCTAAGGGTTTGGAAGTCCACCCCTCTTCAGGAAGTCTCTGGGTTTTCGGAAAGTGATACAGTCTTACCCCAAACCAGCTCTGTTGAGTTTACCTCTGTTTTGTTGCCAGTTCTCCCTCCTGCAGGAACATCTCTGCGTCTTTCAGCCAGCTTCACATTATCTCGCTGCTACTGGCTATCTTTTTGGCTTTTAGTCACCGTTGTCTTTGTTCAGGACTGCTCCGCTCCCGCTTTTCAATGTCTTCTGCTGCTGCTGACAGTAAGGAAACTCTTCCAGCTCTTGATTACGGGACCCAGTCCAGCTTTGACACTATACCGGGTCTCCTGTAGCCTCAGCTGGGGGCTGGGGGCCCTTGGCCCCCAGAGGGGCTCACTGGCCCCCTGCTTCCTCCTCATGGCTCAGATCATGGCTACCTGCCTACTAAAAACTATCTTCCCTACCTTCTCTTCCATTTCTGTGGGTATGTAATTTCCGTAGGGCGCACGTGGACTATTGATTGGTCCAGTATTATCAGTGGGGCAAACCATTACTACCTCAGAGAAAAGGTTTTTCAAACCACCACAGTCACCACTCAGCAATAAGGTCACCCCTCAGCTTTCTCTCATCCAAGTTGAACAAGCGAAGCGACCTCAGCGTCTCCTCATAACTCTTGCCCTTGAGGCCTTTTGTCATATTGTTCTCCCTCCCTTCTTATACTGAAGTGCTCAAAACTGCACTGAGTAGTTGAAGTGTGGCAAGCTGCACCAGTGCAGTTAGGTTTACTGTCATGTTCAGATTAGCAAGGTAAAAGGTAGATATCTAAACAGAAAAGTCCCCGGGAAATTAATTTCATCTCGACCTAAAAAAGCTGTGATGGTTTGCACCTTAGACATGATTCGCTCTCCATGGATTACAGAGGATTCCTCTGCAACTACTTCAGAATGGCTATTTTACATTCAGAGAACTAAAGATGGGAATATTAATCTGAAGATTACTATTTTGCTCTCATATGATTCTGAAATCATATGAGTAAATAATTAATTGCCGAAAATATAATGCACTAACTACCTTGAGTGTCATGGGCAAAATCCTGTCCCCACTGCTCCATTTAAGCAACATGCCAGTGCATATACTTCACTTCAAACTATGTTTTATGCATGTTTAAATGTTTTTCTAGGGAGCTGAACATAGGCACTCTGTTTGATAGCATGTTCAGCAACAAAATCAGCTTTTATTTCCTGTGTTCTTCCCCCAGAAGTTCTTAGTTTCACTGTTAAAGATATTAACGGTTATCATGGGCATTTCCTGGGCTTTTTCTTGGTTTCATGCTGGACAGTCACTTTAAGCAATTCTTTCAGATTTCCCTAAGCAGCAATGAACCATGTAAGAGAATAAGTTCCCACTGTGCAAACACATGAAACACTGCTAATTACAGGCTTTCACCTGAGTTAGTTATGACAGGAATTCAGAGACAGCCTTCTTGAGTGTCACACTAAGCTATTACTTTTTCATTATTCAGGAATTAAGGGCTTTTCCAGAATAAAAAGTACTATAAATCTTTACAGATTCCGTTGCAGGTTCCTCCAGTTTGTAGTATCAAATTTTATGTATTATGTAATTTGCAGCAATAAAATTTAACCTGTGATTTTACAAGGTTAAATTTAACAAGGTGTCTTATGCCTACCTAATAAAATTAATGAAAATATGTGCTGTAAAGTAATTTTGAACTGGTTGCCTAGTTTGTCTTTAAAAGAAGAAAGGAGAAATATGAAAAAGAGAAATTGATACTTAAGGTAGGTGTCACTCCTGCTAATAATTTGCTTCTATTCTGTTCAACTGCACAGCAGTGTTGTGACTAACGGATGGGCAAGCAAGTATCAGAAAATTGCTTCATCTTTGTCAGCTAAGAGCACTTTGACTATGCTAGGGAACAATGAAACTCCAATTGATACAAAAGCAAAAAAGTATTTAAAATTAATAAACTGTAGCAATCTTTCAATTTATAGCTCTTAACATTTTTTAAAAAGCAGCTTTTGTAACAGATTTGGTATATGAATGAAGTGATGAAACACTTTGACCTAACAGCATTAACAGATGCTGTTGCTATATTAAGAAAGTGTAATGATTTTTTAAAGTTACTGAGTCACACATCTTACCTGTAAGATCTCTGAGAGGTACGTGCGCCGCTTATCATTAGCTTTATGGTAAGCCTACAGTTAAAGCAAGAGATACAGGCTACCATTAAACAAAATTTTTAAAAGTTGAATCACACAGGAAAACTCCAATATACAGCAGAACGTTTTTCCAGTGACATATTTTGTGGAACTATTCTTATGTGTGTTCCACACACACTGTTTGTCAGACAACATAATAGCTTTTATAGATTAGAGGCATACAATGATTACAAACCTTTGCTTCCTGTTTCAGTCTAAGTTCATAGTCCTTTAGCTGACTCTGGAGACGACTCTTCTCTTCTTCCAGCTGTTTAAGAACCTCCTTTAAGGAACCCTGTGGTTATAGTAAATAAAACAACGCTTTACAAATATTTCCATTCTGCATAAAGATGTCATCAACATAGCCCTTATTTTTTAAGCATTATGATGTTTGTCATTCCCTTTGGTTCTTGTGCACTTTTTGTTTTCATGGTTCTGGCTGGCACACTGCAGAGACAGAAGCAATTAGCCATATGCTACAATTATTAGTTATGCACTACATTTCCACTGTGTTAAAATGATACAGGTACTGCTTTCCACACTCCTGTTCCTTGACAGATTAGCAAAGTAACCTTGTGGTGACCAGTCAGAATTGCTCCCTTCTTCTAACCAAAATTTCCTCTGATTTCAGATCTTACCAGCACATCCATTTTCAAACCACTTGCTGAGAGAGCTGCTGAACTGGCTGAAGAGGCACATGGGATGTCAAAGGTAATTCATACCAACTCGGCTAGAAAGCAGTATTTTGTGGGAACTCTATCTGTCTTAGGTGTTCAGCCATTTACCTTGCCTACAATTGGGATAAATTAGGGTAACAGCAGTAGTCCATTTTGACTACTGGCACTGGCTGAATCTTTGCTTGCTATGTAATGGAAGTAAAACACACACTCAAGCAGGACCTCCTCCACTTCTACCATGGAAAACTCCTTCTCATAATCCCTTTTATAAACTGGTCCAGTAGAGACACTCTTATAGAAGCCTCTAGCAGAGATTACTTTAAATTCCTTATCTTAGAGTTTCCTCTACCAAGCTCAGGAACAATGCACTCCAACAAAGAGGAATTTGAGCAGACATGCCAGAAGGCCTGCAAACAAGGAGCTCCTGGACAAGCTCCACCACAAAAAGAAAGCCTAGAGAGGGTGGAAACACAGACAGGTAACCTAAGAGGAATACAGAGATTGTTCAGTCAGGGATCAGGTTAGGAAAGTTAATGTCCTGATAGAATTAAACCAGGCCAGGGATGTCAAGGGCAACAAGAAAAGGTATTCTATAGGTATGCTAGTGATAATAGGAAGTCCAGGGAAAATGTAGGCCCTTTCCAGAAAGAAACAGGAGACCGGGTTACCAAGGACATGGAGAAGGCTAAGGTTCTCAATTACTTCGTTGCCTATGTCTTCACCAGCAAGTGAAGGGATGGCATGCAGAGTGACCTTGACAGGCTTTAGAGGTGGGCCTGTGCAAACCTCAGGAAGTTCAACAAGGCCAAGTGCAAGGACCTGCAGCTGGGTCAGGGCAATCCCAAGCACAAACAAAGGCTGGGATGACAATGGATTGAGAGCAGCCCTGAGAAGAAGGACTTGGGAGTGATGGTGGATAAAAAGCTTGACATGAGCTGGAAATGTGCACTTGCAGCCCAGAAAGACAACCACATCCTGGGCTGCATCATAAGAAGCGCAGCCAGCAGGTTGAGGGAAGTGATTGTCCTCCTCTGCTCTGCTCTCTTGAGACCCCACCTGGAGTACTGCATCCAGCTTTGGGGCCCTCAAGAAGGATGTGGACATGCTGCATCAAGTCCAGAGAAGGGACACAAAGATCACAGAGCTGGAGCACCTCTTCTCTGAAGACAGGCTGAGACAGTTGGGGTTGTTCAGCCTGGACAAGAGAAAGCTCTATGGAGACCTTACAGCACCTTCCTGAACCTGAAGGGGGCCTACAAGAAGGTTGGAGAGGGACTTTGTCTTACAAAGGCATGTAGTGACAGGGGTAATGGCTTTAAACTGAAAGTAGATTTAGATTAGATATTAGGAAGAAACTCTTTACTGTGAAGCACTGGAAGAGGTTACCCAGAGAGGTTGTGGATATCCCATCCCTGGAAGGTTGGATGGGACTCAGAGCAACCTAATCAAGTGGAAAGTATCCCTGCCCACGGCAGGGGCGTTGGAACTAGATGATCTTTAAGGTCCCTTCCAACCGAAACCAATCTATGATTATTCAAGGTCAGTTTGTACCTGATTGTTCTTGTACTGAAATGTGTTTTAAGACAAACGTTCTTCCTCCCTGGTGTTTGTCCCCAGCACGTATAGATTGAAGACATGAGCATCTTTTTTCAACATTCATTTTACTAGGATAAATAAACTAAACTTGGCTCACAGTCAACAACGAATCAGCTAGAACCTAGATGTTCCTCTGCAATTGTATCAGCTCTCAATTCATAACAGAATTTCTTTATTATTTCCTAAATCCTTTGGTCTACACTATTAAATTTTACTCCCATTTTTAATAATCTAGCCTTTAGTGTCTTTCTTTTCCTAAACAACATCCAGATCCCAATTATATTATATAATTGGTTTCAGGAGAGAGATATCATAATCTAATTCTACTTTGTGTATCAAGGTCATGCATTAAATATTAAGATTCTTCCTAAACCTGGTCCTGGAAGAACTCTGCTTGTACTCTCCCAGCAGACTCCCTCACTAATCACTGCTATCATGTTCCACTGCTATCATCTTTATTCTTTCAACAGATCTACTCATTTTCATTTTCTCAATTAATCAGTCACTTCCCATGTGACATGGTGTCTTTATCAGAGGTCACAATTAATAAGATTACTATATTTATTGTGTCAACAAATCTAGTGTCTCATCACAGAATGTCAACAGGTTTGCCCACCATGAGACATTTTTAATAAATCCAGGCTTCAGTTTCATTTTGCAACAATTATTTCTCTCTTTATCTTAAAACTGAAAAAAGTGCTTTACTCCAGCACACACAATGCACATATCTTTATTAAAACCACTTGCAGATCAGTGATGTAGCAAGCCAGTTCTTTCAGAATCCTAAGGTACAGATTACCCATTTCCCTCATTTTAAGCACAGCCAGCTAAGTTTTCCTTAGGATTTGGTTACTGTCGTTTCCTCTTCCAAGCACTTGCTGATGTTAGCTATTTTTTGCTTTATTCTGCATTTTATTGCTTCTACCTTTACTGAAAACTTAGGCAATATATATGTTTAATTTAAAGTGAATGAATTCATGATCCCTGGTAGGCTTTTTGACTGGCTTTTCTGAAATGTTTTTGTAGATTTTAAAAATCTAAAATAGCATTACTTCCTTTTTATTCAGTATTTTCTGATAAAATACATTAATTATCACATCCACTGATATCTGTGCCTCATCATTATTATTATTAGCCCTTGATTTTTAGTCTTTATTTATAAGTATCACATACAATACAATTTCTGGCAGTAATTTAATAATATTATAGCCAAATTCATCTATGCAAATGTTATATTTATATCTATATCTGACTGTATGGATGGGATTTAGTCTAATGTGAGTATATCTACATTTGAGTGCCAGTATGTGAACTGAGCTCCTCCTAAGAGCCACAGTGAAGACAATCACTGATGTGCAGTGATTCATTCAGCTAAGCAGCTAAAGAGCTCAACTTAGTTGCCATCTGAGGTGTTCTAGAGAGGCCAAGACATTCATGTGTGGCAGATACAACAAATGGGTTGCACAAGACACATCCTTCTGGAGCAGTAGTGGGCTACTCTGCACTGAAACATCTGCAAGACTGTTTATACAACTATTCCACGGAAGATGCCAACCTAGATAAATCTAGATACAAATCTCTGTACTCAGCTGACTGTACTAATAAGACCTGCACTTCCTGTAGTAGGGATTAAAATATCTAGCCAAGAGGTAGACATCTATATAGAGAAAAGAAAATATTTGTGTTCTAATATTTAAGTAAATCATATTGTTTCAATGTATATTTCAATGTTATTTCCCAATATTATTGTGACTAAACTTTGTTTTCCCTACCCATCCTCAAGCCAAATTCATCCAAACAGCTGTTGAAGAAAAAAACAACAACATTTATGGTAAAAGTCTCTCATATCTGCTACATACCACATCTATCACTGTTATGTTCTTTCATGACAAGTGTGTACCTTTAATACTTTTTGTCCCTTCATGTTTTCATTATCAATGCTATTGCATTCCTGGCTTGTCAGCTTCTCCCATTTGTCTGCTTAGGTCCCCTGTGTAAAATACTTATCTGTCACAGAATTTTTGGGTTTTTTTATTTCTAACACAAGAACCTCCTTAGTCAGAATAGATGAATCCTTTCACTTTTTGTACTGATTACCTGACCATTGCCTTAATAATCAATTATTTCTTCTCATGACCTTAATGCTTTGCTAGGCTTTTATTTACCAGATTTTCTCAGTAAGCATGGAAAGGAAGAAAACATGATTCTCCAAATATTTCCATCTTCTTTTTCCATGGAAATTTCAACTTTTTTTCCCTTTTTAGCATGCAAATCTCAGATCCAGAAGGCCAGTATCCCTATATGGTATATTTCTCAGAGAGTTTATGAATGTTTGCTAATAGTAAAAAATTACATCTGCCTGTTTGAAGTCTCGAGTCTTTTCTAGTATCTACAGATCATGGCATCTTTAATTTTTTTTGCATAATTTTCTGTATAACATGTTAGTTATTTGGTTTCAAATTTTATTTTTCATTTAAAAAATCCTGGCTTTTACTGAGATTTCCCTCAGAATGATTTCTGTTGAAATTAAGATTTTGAAGGAGCGCGGCAAAAGGCGCAGTACTTTTAAAACATGTTGCAAGAGAGAATAACCCCTCCCACTGTTCAATATGAAAAAAAAGGAAATATAGAAGAGCTGCATCTTTGGAGAATATTTTGCACGTGACTGAATTGTTATTAACAGAGACATGAAAAAGAACTTGAGACATGAAAAGAATTGAGGGGTTGTTAGGTATTTTTTTCCTAATTAAAGCAGAAGTACCTCGGATGCAGATGCAAACTTTGTCCTAATACAGAGGAATCCTACAGTCAATACAGGCAATGTTTGCCAATTCAAGGAGAAAATGTAAACTGCAGATTAAAGAGATTTGGCTAAATTCCACTAGAGTCATGTGCTATTTCATTTCAACATCAGTGTCTCTACGGAACTAAACAAGACAGATAAAGAAGGCCTCAGCACTGTCCAACTATGAAACTAAGGTTTTTTGCTTTCTTGACCTCAGTGCACATTAAAGACTATGAC